TTCAGGGTCTTGTGGGTTTTTAGCAAATGCAACTTTGCAAACCTAAGCTGTTCTGTCCTGTCCTGTTAGGGAGAAATGAGGCTTTCTCTTCTCCTGAAAACACTTCTAAACAATCCATGCTTGCTCAGTCTTTTTCTATTTGGACCTTCATGAACACTTTTTATTTGCCATGCTAACTAAAGCTTGTAAATTCGGAGATGTAGCTACCAGGTTTTTCAGTTTTGAATGTCTCTGAGCCTTGCACGATCTGACCTCGGGATGTCCACTCCTGAGAAGACTGGCAGATATTTTGAAGGCTTTTCCTTTATGAAGTATTTTTCACACGGTTAAATGACTCAAAATCACTTGGAATAGGCATCTTAACCCATACCAAAATGATGGGTGGAAGCAGTTTATTCTCTAAGATAACCATACCTCCTTAGAATTATGAAAAAACCTGTTATTGCTCCAGTTCAGCAAACTGTAAAACTCCTGCTTTTATGGAGAAACTCTGACCTACTAATGACATTGAAAGTGATGACAAGTGCATATGAATCACAGCACTTTGCTTCTAATCATGTTTAATGTGATGCTTTGTGCTTTTCCAAGACATCTTCCTCTATATTTGAATTTTCAGGCAAGATGCGTATTATTAATTTTCTTTTAGCCAGTGTATTCTCAAAAAAATGGTTGTACAATTATTTTTTCCATCCTTTTTCAATATCAGTCCTCCAAAATTCCGTGATGCCAGCCTAGAACTAGCATTATATGGATATGTTTTTATTTTGTAAATGTTGTTTTGGTCATCCATCAAACACCGAGTCAGCGGATTTTCCCCAATCTTAAACTTTTTTTGTTCCGGCCTGTCATGATTGGGACAGAATGTAAATAACTGTAACCATTAACAGTTCATTGCCAAATTACAAAGCACCACAAAACAACATTTCTGCTTGTAAGGAATTATAGCAAAGGTATGTTTGATAACTGGTGGTGTCTACAGAAAAGAAAGGAATTTAATAGAATTACTTTTACAACGAGGAAATCAGGTTTTAGTCTTCATCTATCATGCTATCAAAATGAGCACATTTTCTCTTTAACAAAGAGAAGGCAAATTTCATAATGGGTGTTTTTTGTCACTTATGTCATACATTTATAGCACTCTGGCGATCCAACTCTATTTATTAGATATCTATTTCATCTAAAGGATACAAGATATTAAATAAGATATTCAATTCACAAATTAATATTACAAGTAGATTATGAAAATGAAATAAAAAACATTAAAATGTTGACAACCTACAGGAAAGTTTTCATATATAGGGGTGTAGCTCAGTGGAAAGAACATTCATCTGTTAAATTAAAGTTTAATGGCTTGATTCTGGGATTTGTGTAGAACAGAGTGAGGGGAGACTGAAATCTGGTGATTTTGAATGGACTAGGGTGTTGTGTAGTTCAGCAACAGCTAAGCTAACAACGCCACAGGGATGTTCATTGGGACACACAGGTGACAGACTCACAGCCAAGTTTTACATCTCAGATGCAGAGATTTTACCTCCCAGTAACATGTCCACATAATCTGTTATGAACAAGAACTATATCCCCCCTTATTCACAGTTTCCTCTCTATCTGCATTCTTTGTTTCCCTGTAGAGACTGAAAGTTATGTAGAGGTACAGGAGCATTACCTGGGGTCATGACAAAAAGTAATACAATTATATTGTCCCCCGATTATTTATTGCCCACCCCCCCAAGGGTCTAAGCTGATTAATTTGATTTGGCAGTCACATATTCTGTCCAATAAATCCCCCAAATTCTATTTAAACTCTCCGTTTTTGCTCCTGCTCTGAATCATAGACACCATGCCTTTGGGGTCCTATTCCAGGTATTACTCGGGCTTCAGAGCCCAATCACCTATTTCCACATATAAACAACTTTCCAATTTCCACAGTTCTGTATCAAAACAGATGTAAACCAAAAAAAATAAGATATATAAGAGCAAGCGTTCTCAACAGAAGTTCTTCAAACTAGCAAAGCAAATCTTCCAAAATCAGTGTTGTCAGTTTGTTTTATGTTATAGAATACAAATAAGTAGTAAACTGCTCACCTGCCTTTATTGCTTGTTTGAATGCTTACACTAATCATTTCTCCAGGGGAATCACTAGTTTTGTATTCCACGTAATAACTCAGCATGACATAGGAAAACTTTTGAGCGATTATCTTAGATTTAATGCATATGCAACCTCGAAGAACCAAGTGCATGAAGTTTCTTGAATGAATAAGCCATATAAAGACACTTTTAGCATGGACCCTATGTTATTGAAATTATTCAGTAAGAAGTACTGTAGGAACTTATTTTCGAATTCCAAAAGAAACACAAAAATAAAAACTCTAACGAGGCTAAGAAATGCTGGATCCAACCCTTGTCAGTCAAAGCTCACGAATCCTGCATTCCCTAGCTGCTCAGAAGCTCTTGGTTTTCAAACTAGCATTTGTTCTTTTCCCCGACACCTTTGAACCATAATGGATGAGTCCGTCCTTATTTCTCATGCTCTGAAACCCACATTCTAATAGAAAAACCCACAATATGGCAAGCATGAATAGATCAAAAAGTCTGAAAGTATGTGATGACACACCATGAGTTGTGATTCATCCAACAAACCTCTACTGGAGGAAACCAATTTAATTTACACTTTTCACAGACTGTTTGAAGCCTAACTCTGTCAGGTTTAAATTACTGCCCCTTTTCTTACAGGATGAAGCATGTCTTACAATAATCTATGTAAAACAACAGCTCAATTGTTACAAAGTACTGCAATGAAATGGATCATTTGGGACCTTAAACTTTCTGCACAGATTAGGTATCTTGTACGTTTAGAGACCTGAGGCTTTTTTAAGTTAGATTTTAGTTACTGCTGCTAATATTAAAGAGTATAGACCTTTATGACTAAGTTACCTTAGTCATAAAGATTTTAAAAAAGCATTTATAAGTATAACTTTTTCATTACTGGAAAAACATGCCTTTGTTATTATGTTTTTTACTTCTGTTCTAAAACTGAATTATTCCTTCAATGAAGACAACGTAACGTATCTAATCATAAGTCCTACTCTGATTATGAAACTATGGAGTCCAATAACAGTACTGTCAAATACAATATCTCTCGAGGAGCTTTAATAACTGTAATGTTCATAAATGAATATCATTTTTAAAAAGCTCCTGGAGCTCATAAATGTAGTGAAAGAAGTGATCAAGGATTATAGCAATTAGAATGTACTGTATGTGTATTTGTGCTGATCAAATCTTTGTTCTCCCATTTGCTTCTCATGATTATGAATACATACTGTATTGATGTACAGTATGTAAGTACATCATAGCCTCCCACTATAAAAAGTAATTTGATGAAAAAGAAACGAGGAGCAAAAATTGGCTAATTAAATTATAATCATCTTAAAAGTAGATATCCTCCGCTTCAGAACAGAGGTTGAAAGTTTGTATCACGGAAAAGGAACCTAATAGCCTAGGACTCTTCTATTTTTTTCTTTTTTGCAAAGCTTTTGCAAACACAAATAAAAATAGCAAAGTAAAACATTTCTGATAATTTAGAATTCAAAGTTATGTAGAAAACAAAATTTGGCATAATCATAGGTGGGGGGAGGATTTTCCATTAAACTCTTACTGTCACACAGAGGAAAAAATACTTTTCCTGCCACTGCTAATAGCCATAAAAAATGTGGATGCAGCTATTTGGAATTGGCATCTTTTCGAAACAGATTGGGATGTTACTGGTTCTAACTGCATAATGTCAGTTTTAAAAAAATCTTTGAACACATCTTTTGAACACACTATTAAATTTAGAAATGTGTGTAAATATCGCTGTTTTATGAGTAAGTAAACAGACTTGGTATTGTGAACAAAGTCATAGTGTGTTCACTTAAAAAAAAAAATTACATTCAATGATTGAATGAAAATGACAGTTAGTTTAGTGAACAATGTTAATCTTTGAACACTCTTAAATTGCATGGGGAGTGCATGTGTGTGCAGTTGTGTCCGGGTGTCCCCCCATATAGATAATGGATGTTCCTCTTTGTGGTGGCACGGTGGTGCAGTTGTTAGCACCATCGCCTCACAGCAAAAGGGTTCTGGATTTAAGTCCCCGAGGAAATCAGGACCTTTCTGTGTGGAGGTTGCATGTTCTCCCTGTGTCTGCATGGGTTCTCCCCGGGCATTCCGGCTTCCTCCAATCATCCAATAGCCTGCATGTTAGGTTAATTGGACATTCCAAATTGCCCTTAGGAGAGAGTGGTGGTTATTCGTATTTGAGTGTCTATATGTGTGGCCCTGCGATGAACTGGCAGACTGTCCAGGGTGTACACTGCCTCTCGCCTATTGTATACTGGGATAGGCTCCAGTCCCCCCCCCCCCCCCCCCCCCCCCCCCCCCGCGACCCCATTTGGGAATAAGTGGTTATGATAATCGATGGATAGATGGGGTCAGAAATGGATGGATGGACATTCCTCTTTTCCAGATTCAATTTATCTGTTTTTACTGAGCACTGCACAAATGCCTTATTCATATTGTCATATGCAAAAGCCCAAAAGTCTGTCATCAAATTTTTAACATCTAAAGGGAATGAACTTTGTGATTTGAATAAAACTTTTTATCGTTTTATTTTATTCAGCTGACTGAGGACTGACAACTTTCATCCCCACGACAGACAATTACTCCTATCAGACCTTTAGTGATCAACGATTGTTCATGGACTCATTTCGACAGATCTCTAGGTCTTGCTAGACTTGCAAAGTACTTCATTGAAAGAACACCTCACCAAAATAACAAAATGTAGTTCCTGGAATATCTTTTACGTGGGGAAAGCATTTTATGTTTATTTATTGACAGCATTTTTCTACGTTCATTACATTATAGGCGCTCCAGGAGAGTAGAAAAAACTAGACATTTTAAAAAGTGTACTCGGTTGACATGACTTAATTTGGCGCAATTTGTGTGTCCGCTACAATTGTAGCACGCCTTTGTCACGTGTTCAGTATGAGTATTTATGTCTATGTCTATAGTCAAGCACTTGTCCTGTTACGATTCACCTTCTCACTTCCTGGTATAGAGCCAATCCCAGCATTCGTTGGGTGTCACATGTCTAGCTTTGCTGAACTCTGTGTGAAAACAAGAGGGGTGAGTTTCCACGTTGACTACAGGTATACCACGGCTTTATATAGCCACTTTAACATGCTCTTGGATGAAACAGTTGTGCCACAATATCAAACAACAGTCAATCTCTCTTTTTATTACTGTAAGTTAATAAAATTGGTGTCCGTGGTGTCGTAGAAATGCGTGCAGTCCTAATATGCATGCCCACACTCGCGTGTTGCAGGGACAATTGTCCTCCGAAATGAACAACCCACACATAACTATTGAAAAGACTTACTTTGTCTTTCAGTTTCCAAGTTGTCAGAAAATGAGTTATCAATACCGTATTTATTTGTTTGTCTTGTTCACAGCAGTCGTGGAAGGTGAACCATGGGCCGCCTGGATGGGAAAGTGATTGTGTTGTCTGCTGCTGCGCAGGGGATTGGACGTGCTGCAGCAATAGTAATGAGCTCTCATTAAACCTTCTTCCCGATGTTTGTCTTTCTATTTGACATACTTTTTGGTTCTTTTTCAGTTGCAGAAACTGAAATATAAAATATAAAAGTAGCCTTTTTATTTGAAAATTACACATAAGGCCTGTAAAAGTGATTTTTAGACAGGTCCAAATATCTGGTAATACCTCATTTTGATCTTGAATTGGAAAAGCGTTTAATACGTTTTCAGTATAATGTCTAAGGACTGCAATCGTCATGCCTGTCAACTATTTTATTGAAGCATAACAGTCTAGTATGTACACTAATTTTCACCGAAAATGTCGCATTTGACTGCAAGAGTGAGCACAGACCTTATTTTGTGTACAGAAACTCTCTCTTACCATCAATAATGCCTCAAACGGAGAGATAGCGAAAGAGATTCAATATTGATCGATGTTGCAAACCTGCGAGGTAGAAGATCACTCACTCTGACTCCTGCCATTTATCTTCCACTGAAGTCAGCATCAAGTCAGACATAGCAAACTGCCTTAAATGTGTGATAGATCATTTCCCACACTTTAGCGTCTTCTTTTGTAAGAATTAGAATGAGGAAGGCACTTTATTTTCTTTAAACCACACTTAAAATGGCAGACCAGGTCCCTTGTGTTAAGTATTGCATGTATCTGTACATATTAAGAATAAAAGGGAGCAAATTGAAATCAGCATGCAGGTTGATAAAAGGGGTTAACTAGCATACACTTACAGAAACACTCTAACTTGCACAACAGTAACACCTACCACTCGTTTGGAACATTACAGGAACATCTCAGTATTCCAGTGTGTATGTGGAAGCAGCGAGAAAGCCATCTATATCAGACACTGCCAGCCACTGTGGCCTAAGGGTTACAGTGCAATACCAAACATAGAAGCTATTTTATCAGATCGGGCCCCTGTAATTGATTTTGTAGTGATTGTGATCCTCCAGATAATGGAAAATCTCAGACAGTTCAACCCTAACGCGTAATTCTGTGGTGACAGTCTTGCCAGAAATGTTAACAAAACACTTGAATGTCTCACACGTGTCTTTGGCAAGATTAAAACGAGTCCAATTGCACCTCAAGTGATAACTTCAGTAGTGCCTTGTGTGTGAAGGGTTTCTCTTTTCTTTAGTATAAGCAGTGGTCCACTTATACAGTGGCTGTTCACACGATTCATATCACGTAGGATTAAAAGTTGCCGACATGTAGTGGCGAAGGGGGGGGGGGGGCATTTGCAATCTCCACTTCCACTTTAAAAGGTCCCCAGTTATTGGAGTCAAGTTTCAGTGAGAGATTGATATTCTGTCCATAATTCAGTATGTCATCTTGACTGTTGATTCTCTGAATTATTCAGTGCATTCAGGTAGCAATTTGTATGTCTCAAGTAGCAAAATCGCACAATGTTGTCCTCACTTCTTTTCATTGTCAAAATGTATTCGGCTAAACTAGAACTTTCAAGATGTAAGACACCTTACACTCTGGACTCTGGACTTTAAGTCAAAATGATCTGATCAAAACTGAATGCTTTTTAATCAGCAGGGCAATGTATGGCATGTTGTTTTAATGACATGGCATGTAGACTTTAATCTCACTCAGAGCTGACAATACTTTGTACCTGTAGGCGTTTGCAAAGGAAGGAGCTCAGGTCACTGCAACAGACATAAATGGAGAGAAGCTGAGGGAGCTGGATGGCATTCAGGGTAAGTGTTGTCTCTATTGGTCTGCAGCTGCCATCTGCTGGGAAACCATGGCGATGCAGACTGAGGCTGGATGAATGTCTAAACCTTTTCGTTTTATTCTTTTTTTTCCTTTCATGCCTTAATTAGTACATGTTAGCCCAGAAAACTTCATCCGGTCAGAAAATGGGTCAAACTATAAAGAACCTAAAATGTTAGATAAATTGGTGCTCACTGCTCATTAGTGTTTTCTGTGTACTGTTTTCTGAAATAGAATGTTTTCAAAGCAGTCGGAAAATGTTAAAGGTTTCTCGAGTACTTTTAGAAAAGTTCCACTTTTTCCCTCAGAAATTTACAATGTCAGACATGTAGATTCTGATCAATTTATTAATTTCTAAGGACGACAGCCCTCCCCTGTCTACTCTACATAAATCTTGTATATTTATCCTTTGAATAACCTCAACCCCTGCTGTAGATTTATCTACAACATTGCTTTGCTAGTTCAAAGCAATGGGCATAAAGCTCATGTGCCAAAATACTAAAAATTAATTTGACAATTTATTGTCAAGTGAAAATTAATCTGCTGTTGTCACAATAAAAATATACAACTGTTGTTGTTTTTTTTGTTTTTTTTACATAATCAGGAATCAGGACTAAAGTGGTCGACGTGACTAAGAAGGACCAAGTGGAAGCCTTGGCTAAGGAGCATGACCGGGTTGATGTACTATTCAATGTTGCAGGGTACGTTTCTAATAAATACTTTATCCACGATATATAGAACAATGAGACTTATTTGTTTGTAAAAAAAACACTGTTTCCAGGTTAATTTTATTTATCCTTCTGCTTAACTACATTTCTGAAATCCTTAAACCATACGGTAAATTCAACCTTTGACCTTTGCTCAATCTTCTTACAAAGGTCTATTGTCGCCTTATTGGTTCAAGTGATATGTATGGGGAAGAGATAGCTTTTTTTTTCTTCTTTATCGCAATATTTTATAGCAGAACTGACCTTGTTTTCATTTAAACTGATTTACAGGCTGTTTTGACCTGCAGCTTCTATCACATGTCCAAAGGATAATTATTGAGATAGAGGTATACAGATTTGGTTTTGTTTTATGTTTGCTCATGGTGTGCAGGTTTGTGCACCATGGCAGCATCCTGGACTGTGAGGAGGCAGACTGGGACTTCACCATGAATGTAAATGTGCGCAGCATGTACCTCATGAGCAAGGCTTTCCTGCCCAAGGTAATCCTTCCACACTCTGACACGGTTGATCCTGTCGCTCACCAAACGAAATTGAGTGACATGTGCCTTAAATGTTGTTCTCATCCTTTGTCCGCTGCGATAAGCTGAATTACTCTGAGCCCATGACATGATGGGAGGTGACTGTTCGACTACTAATCCAGCTTTAGCCGCAAACTTACCAAACTGGCTTCTTGTGGAATTTCATCTCAGATCATAGCACATTTGTCAATAATTTCTTATATAGAATTGAAAAACGTATTTTACACATTAATTTTCATTTCACCCTTAAGTGCCTATTGATGTGCCGCCTCTTGTGCTGTATTTTGTTAATATAGATGTTGGAAAAGAAGTCAGGAAACATTATTAACATGGCGTCTGTCGCTTCAAGCATAAAAGGTAAATACTCTTCCTCTCTTTTTCTGTTAATGGTTCTAGAACAGCTACTCCTCCCCATAGAAAGTCTGTTAGTCCTCTGACGTGCAACCATTCTTTGTAATCTTCTTATCTCCGATAATTGCTTCTACGTCTTGTGCGTGCCTATGTGTGAGTGACAGATGTGTTTTCCTGGAAACAGGTGTTGTGAACCGATGTGTTTACAGTACCTCGAAGGCTGCTGTGATTGGTCTCACCAAATCTATAGCTGCCGATTTTATTGAGCAAGGCATCCGCTGTAATTGTGTTTGTCCTGGTAAGTGTTGTACATCCTACACAACATCCCCCACTGTTAACGTAAAAATTATCATTGTTTATCACAATTCTGGGACTTTTCATGTTAGAAAACATTGCGTGTTTTAAACCAAAACCACTTCTGATAACTGTGCAATCTCAGGCTTCTAGCATATGATTTGTGCAGCAGCCTTTGCATTATTTTGTATTCCGTGTACAGTGTTATATTTACTTGCAGACCTCACAAAAAAGACCATCTTTGTCATTTTTATTTTTTTGTTTCCTTAGGGACTGTCGACACTCCATCACTGAGGGGTAGGATCCAGGCCCAGCCTGACCCAGAACAAGTACTGTGGACCTTGACTTACTTATCTACTACTGAGGCATTATCCACTGCATGTGTCATTAAAAAGCTGAATGAGGTTTCATAAGGAAACTCCATTGGCCAGCTTCTGAAATTCATAAATGTTACAACTGTTAATCATTTCCAGGCTTACAAGGATTTTATGAAGAGACAGAAGACCGGCAGAATGTGCACCGCTGAAGAGGTGGCACACCTCTGTGTGTACCTGGCCTCAGATGAGGTGTGTGTCGTAAAGTGTTTTCGAGTTATTGAGTTCATCAACCACGTTTCCTGAGTATTGGAAACTTCCTATTACAACATTCTGTGGCAGATACATCTTTTCAGCAGTAATGCCACTAAAACTGTGATGTTTTGCGTTCTCACTCTTCATAGTCAGCTTATGTGACTGGGACAGAGCACATCATCGACGGAGGGTGGCGACTGTGAAGAACCCGTGAGAGGCGCATGGTGCCATCCCCGTTCAGAAGAGAAGACTAACTCAAAAAGAAGTGTGCATGATTTAATGATCACTTTAGACATCTTTCTTATCATTTTTGCACTTTTTTTAAAGAATCGTTCTATTCTTTCCTGATTAAGCTACAGATGTTTTATCATGCTGAAAGATGCCAGGTGTTGGCCTAACATTGTAACAATGTAACAGTGTATCGACGGTGATCCGTTATGACACTTTTAAAATAAAGACTTGACAATCTGAAGGATTTGTATGAATATGTGCTTTAGGAGTAGTACAGTCTCTTCCCCTTCATAACATATAGTTTGGTCGTACTCCTAACCCCGAACAGCAAACGGTGTGCGCACTACATACTTGCGTGTGCGACACTAATCCCCCTCATTCCCATTTTACCGGATGGTGTTCGGACAATCACACGCTATTACTGGGAGTTTACAAACGATGGTACACTTTGCGATACGAGGTGAGACCCCCCACCCCCCACCCCCATGGACATTCCCCACCGAGGGGTCTAGCTACCGTGTGGACCGAGGTTGACTGACAGTTTTACGGCATCACAGGGGCTCGGCTAGCTACAGAGGATACATCCAATATCGGACGAGCGCACGCCCTCAATGTACTGTGCTTTGAAAACCAAATTCTGTTTTTCCCTGCTTTACTAGCTGGAGTCTGACATTTGTCGAGCGCTTGGTCGGTTTGGTGCGTTTAGAGTTAGTGGTTGTCATGACATGTAGAAGTTCAACGCATTTGACTTTAACGGTAGCTTTCGCCACACAAGTCACCAATTAGGTTGAGGGAACGGAAGCCGGTTGGGACATTTCAATTCTGTAATTCAGTGGGTTTTAGTTTGTAAAAACGACGGACTCGCCTAATAGTTAACTATTTAAAAAAAACAAGAAAAGAATGGCTGAACATATTTACACATTTTAGTAGATTAACAGGCATAGTTTACCTGGAGGCATTCATGGAAAGGATTTGTGTTATTGTAGCTAGAATAGTGGCTGTCTCTAGTCTAAGGCATGTGTTCGCTACGTAAGTTAGTGTACATGAGTCACAGAACGACAAACGCCGATGCTAACTGGACAGCTACCGGTACCTGGCTGTGGCAGCCTAACCGTGTGATGGTGGCACTCAGTAACCTACTTGAGCTAACGTTAGCTTAGAGGTGCCAGATGGTCTAGCTGTCAGCATTGATCTGGGCAGTCTGTTCACAATTGGATTAGCAAACGTCTGTCGCATTATGTGGCAATCAAAACATTGTAGTAGCTTCTGTTTACCTCATGCGACTGGGGCACAGCCAGAGATGAAGCACTGAGGTGGGCACAAATGTTTTAATTAATGAAATACACATTAAACAATCCCATAACTGTAACCCCTGGTTTTTGTTGTTTTGAAGGTTGCAGGCTTGCAAGTTTATTCATTTAGACGGACGTCTAGTACTTTGAACAAACAGTTCAACTTTGATTCACCTCCTCCTCGCACATCGAAGCTACTTGAAACAATTCATCCGTTCCACAATGGAAAAAAAATGAGTTTTTGACAAAACTCGTGCTTCAAGATGCTTTGATCAGGCAAAAACAGATAAACACCTGTACCGTGATTTTGCATTATTGAGTCAGTCAATAATAGTCAGTCAGTTTACATTTACTAAGATGTTTTTTTAGTTACTTATAGATTAAGTAGAGCAAAAGTGTGCACAACCAAGGTCAGTGACTCACAGAGTGAAGTGAAGATATTGATTTTGCGCATGATCAGTGAGGTTCTCTGCTTTCCAGGAGATACACTGGATATACAAGCCTTTGGGGCACACAGGGATAATCAACTGTTCTCAATTCTAAGCACAAAACTTAAGTAAATGTTCTGATTTGCTTTGCCTGAAAGAAACTCATGGACCAACACCACTGTTTTCAGGTGTCCTTTGTTTGTTTTACGTCTGATGAAATGTGTTTTACCAAAAAGGAACCTGAGATTGGAGAGGCATAAGGAAGGGAACAGCCCACCAATGGCCAACCCCACCCCTCAGCTTTATCTACTGTGAGAGAAGCAAGTGGAACAATAACACTGTAGCTTTCGGCCATGGAGGACACTCAACAGAAACCTACCACTGTGGTGGAGAATCCTGAACCCATTTCAGCGCCAAGCCCAGCGCCCAGTCCAGTACCCACTCCAGTACCCAGTCCAGCACCCAGCCCACTATTGGACAGAATTACCTTACCAACAGCAAACCATGTGGAGGTAAAGTACTGCTCATAGTTATTTATTATCCACTTTACTCTGGTACTTCAACCTGCAGACAACTAATGTTTTTGGTTTGTAAAATCAGTTTCTGAGATTCCATTTAATATGTCTGGAATGTGAAATCTGAGTGAATTAACTGCAGTTCAAACTACTGTGTTTTTATCTCTTACATTAATCTCCTGTGTTGCTGTTTAGCTCTCTTACATTGTCAAAATGATTTTTTTTTTACTTTACTAATCACACACTAACTAGTGTCCATGTTCTGATTCCTCCTGTAAAGCACCTGAATGTGAACCAGATCCAGGTGGTGGTGCGGCGCTGCTCGACCCCAAATATAACAGAGGAGACAACCTATTTTATTCCTCGCAACCCAGTGGTGGATGCTGGCACCAATACGGACCCGCCAGTGGTCTGTTGCCCTTTACTCCACCGATTTTGTCCGTGTCCACCAAGAGGCCTCATCGCCTCTCTGATTACCAAACGTAAGCATGTGGATTCATCTCTTTACTTTATATTTCTGTTTTTTTGCATCGGGTTTTTGGTGAATGTTGTTTTTTTTAACTACATGAAATTTGGAAATACGGCAGACGAAATGCACTTGCACTCGTTTTGTAACTACGCATGTGTTTGTTTTAGCTGTTGGGTGGTAAATCCTATTCTCATTCTAATATCGGTCTGACCTTTCCTTTCCAGTCCTGTTGGCAGCTGTGCTCTTTGGAGTAGTTTGGTCTATCACAGAGAAAGAATGTCTTCCAGGAGGGAACCTCTTTGGCATCACAACACTCTTCCTCTGCGCGCTCATTGGTGGCAAAGTGGTGGCTCTCATCCGGCTACCCAAACTCCCACCATTCCCTCCACTTCTTGGTGAGTTGGAAAATAAATGTTTTTCCTTTCTATGCTAACATCTGAAGGCCCCATGCACAGACTAGTTCCCGTTTGATTACTCGGCAGTCACACTTGCTTGAGTTAAACTTTCTCATTAAGATGTACCAGTAAGTTTATGTAGTCTTTGGTCATTCTTTCCATTGGTTTAAAGTTTGATTTGAAAGTTGTCTCGATGACTTTTAAATATTTAAAGTTTACCAGCTGAAAAGGTGCTCTGCCTTTGTTTAGAGCTCTGGAAGCACACAATGTCTGTATTTTCTGCAATATTTGTTTTCAATATTTTGGTTATTACGACAAATAATTACTGCTGCAAATAAGAAATTTGGATTAATGTTTAATATTTGATTAAACATTTGATTAATATTTCTCTAATATCAGTATTTGGATTGTTGTTGTGGTTGATGCTATACATTTCTAAGCGGCATGATTATGTGATTTGTTTTATACCCGATTATACGCAAGGGAGGCCAGCACAAACTCAAAGGCTCCAACTTTGTATGTATAATATGTTATGGTTCATTAATTTCTTTATTGAGGAAGGGTTGTATTAAGTTCCATTCAAAGTTTTGATACTTGACAATCCAAAAATGAAAGTTTCTGTTAAATGTGAGAGATTCACAAGAAAGAAAATCTAAAATGATGCTTCTTTTTTTCCACATTTCAAATTCCCTTATTGCCAAAAGGCATACTGTTGCTCCTACCTCCTCGTAAACTCATCTTCTGGTATTTATCAGATGCTCAGGGTTATTTGATATCACTATTGTTAATTTAGAATAACTGACTTTGAAGATTGGGCCCATCTTTTATTTATGTGTTCAACTTTTTTCTGAAGTTTACCAATTTGATTGGAGTTGGACACTCCCACTGAAATGTTGTTCTACATTAGAAGCCAGAAATTATTATTGTGTCACAAAAATGAAGGAATTATCACCCATGACTTTATACACAAGCCTTTCGATTAATTTCTGATCTTTGCTTTTCTGTATAACAATGACAGTAACTATGCATTGCACAATGAACAGTTTATCAGAGCTTGATTTTATTTTAAAAAAATAGCTCAGTGTCGTGTGTCAGAGGTGAAGTTCATTGGGCTGAGTTGAAACTTAAATTATTAGTGTTACGGTAACAGAAAACTCAGTCCTGTGTTGAAAAAGCAAAGTCACGCACTGCTCCTGTTCTCTAGATCCGTGAGAGACGGCTCCAAAAAACAAACAACGCTCCATGATAAAAAGGATCACCTTTCTTCTCTCCCACCACTCTGCTGTGCTGCAGGCATGCTGCTGATGGGGTTCATGCTGAGGAACATCCCGGTCGTGACAGACGGGGTGTACATTGACTTCAAATGGTCTGCCTCTCTGAGGAACATCGCTCTGGCAGTCATCCTGGCCAGAGCTGGTCTGGGTTTGGATCCCAAGGTATTATTATACTCTGTTAGTCATACACACTGAAACGTGACTTGGGCTGAGTCGTGAACTTTTGTCCTTTCAATACATTTTCACATAAGTGCACACAGTTTGATGCGTTTCCTTTAAAAGCCCTGAATGGTGTGTGCTTTCCTCGCCAGGCTCTGAGGAAACTCAAATCTGTGTGCTTACGCGTGGCAGCTGGGCCCTGCTTGATCGAGGCCTCCACCACGGCGCTGATCTCTCACTTCCTAATGGACCTGCCCTGGGTGTGGGGCTTCATTCTGGGGTAAGCACAACACCAGTAACTCTACTATGACTAACACTGCTTACTAAGTCTCTATTTAAGCTGACCATCATTTGCCTGAATCCTTTGTAATCGCTAATGGTCTGTTCTCCCTTAATGGGTTTAAACGTGCGGATTAAATATAGCTGGGGGACCAAAGCTTATATTTTCCTCCGTTGCGGTAATTAGTTGAATAATCAGATGCCGGAGTAAATGACTCTTAACTCTGTTTAGTGATTCACTGCTGAATTATCTAAATGTTTTTCTTTGTATTATGTTTAAATATACTGTAGTAATATATCATCTATGGTATTACAGAGACTAGCATTTCGTCAAGTGTGGTCAGTAGATTAAAAAAAAACCATGAGTCAGCGTTGTAGGGTAAACAGTGACTTTTGCTCCTTGTCTAGTTTTGTTCTGGGCGCCGTGTCTCCCGCCGTGGTCGTTCCCTCGATGCTGCGGCTGCAGAAAGAAGGCTACGGAGTGGAGCAGGGCATCCCCACGCTGCTGATGGCTGCGGGCAGCTTTGACGACATTCTCGCCATCACGGGGTTCACCACATGCTTGGGCATGGCCTTTGCCACAGGTAGTCCCAGTGCACGGAGTAAACAAAACCAGCGTTCTCCTTTTTGAAACGGAACAGCAGTTTATCTCCAGGGGAGAACCAGCAAGTGTGTCTGAACTGAAAGGACATGCAGAAATAAGGAAGCTTTTTGTAGTTTGTCAGGAGCTCAGCAGGGGGAGTAAGAGTGCAGAATATGCCTGAATTATTTTATTGGCTGTATTGCCTCATAGACAAAAATATGACAGAAATCTTAGAAATAGGAGTTTTTGGTCTGTTTTGTTTGTTTGTTGAACCACATGTGAAATGATACAATTGACAAAAAGCATAATTGAAAATTAAAATAAAAGGGGTGATTATATATGGCACCTAGCATAGATTGACCTCATAAAAAAGCATCTCTGAAATGTTAAAACGGATGAAACTAAGCAGATACAGACAGATTTAAGTGTAATAAAAGCTCGATTACTTAACAAATCTTGTTAAAGGCCTTTGCTACAGGGACATGACCCATATAAACTTGTAATTGGGACATTCTCTATGACATTGTTTAATATATGTTCTATATTAACCTCTCTAGGCTCCACTTGGTACAACCTCCTGCGAGGTGTGCTGGAGGTGGCTGGAGGAATGGTTGCTGGGATCCTCCTCGGATTCCTCATTCAGTACTTTCCGAGTGTCGACCAGGTATGCTGACCTCTTCATAAAGCATTACCTGGGCACACTGGTTGATTTACGGATGCCTTTTCATTCTTACTCACAGTGTGTGTGTGTGAAGCCATCGTGGACAAAATGGACTGTTTGTTTTCTATGCAAAACAATAGTTTATGGAAACATTCTCACGTTGACTGTATTTTTTTTTTCTTCACAGAGGCACTTAGTGATGAAACGCTCCTTCTTGGTCTTGGGCCTGTCTGTGTTTGCCGTGTTCGGCAGTGGCGTGGCAGGCTTTCCAGGCTCTGGAGGCCTCTGCACGCTGGTGTTGGCGTTCCTGGCCGGTCTTGGCTGGGGGGCAGAAAAGGTGACAATCAACGCAAGCTAACATCACAGTTCCTAATTTATGCCCGTGTGGTCATGTGTCCAGTGTAGCAGTTAGAAATCCACCACGTTATGTAGCGAGCGCCTCATGGTTGTGTTTAACAGGCTCGGTTAACATGCTCTGTCCGCTGTCTGTCCGAAGGCTCGTGTGGAGGAAGTGGTGGGCTGGGCGTGGGACGTGTTTCAGCCCCTGCTGTTCGGACTGATCGGAGCAGAAATTCGAGTCTCGGAGCTGGAGGGGCTGGCCGTCGGTGAGACAACAAAGCCTTCAAAATAGCACGGCGTTATCTCGGCGAAACATTCAAATGTCACTGTGGGAATGCATGTAAATATATTTGCATAGCCAAAAAAAAGTTTAAAAAAAAGATGAAGTGATGTATCTATCTGTGTTGGTGCTCCTGTTTTCTCACTCTCAACATAGTTGGCCTGCACATATACCCCATTCAGGCCAAAACTGAATACAAAATGCACATATGTGACCCTTTCCATCATGAATATTTTGATGTTGGTGGAAGGACCAGCAGCAGTGTCAGTCTTTTGGTATCCCTGTGTGACTGCTGTGTGTATGACTCTCTTTATAGGTCTGGGTATAGCCTCTCTGCTCATTGCTCTGCTGGTTAGAGTGCTGTTTACCTTTGTGTGTGTCTTCTGTGCGGGATTCAACATGAAGGAAAAAGTGTTCATAGCCCTGGCATGGATGCCCAAAGCAACAGTGCAGGTATGTGTGCACCGGGGTGTGCGTCAGAGAACTTTAAATTAAATTTCCAGCCTTCTATGTCAGCTATTGGTTAGGAGAGAGAAATCTGAGTTTTGTCCTTTTCTTTACCAGGCGGCTATAGGCTCCACGGCTTTAGACATGGCCCGGACTAAGGACGACAAGCAGCTGCAGAAATACGGCATGGACGTGCTTACCGTGGCCGTGCTCTCCATTCTCCTCACAGCTCCTGTCGGAGCTCTTATTATAGGGCTAACTGGGCCTCACCTGCTGCAGAAAACCAAGAGCTCAGCCTGCGGTGAGCGAGTCAAACCCAATTTATCGGCTTTTTTCCTGGGTATGTCAAATCCGACACTCAAACACTCAACACAGCTCGACAGCACTGCGTAGACCTGCTTCCTAGCTGTGCTCCAGTGGTGGATATCTTTCCCTTAGAATCCTTTTCCTCCTTCACCTTTGTCATAGTCTTTGTTCGGGCAAACCAAACACGGATTGGCAGAGCTTTAGATAACTGGTGTTTACTTTCTCATTTGTATCCACGCAACTTTGTCACAGAGAAGTTTATAAGTAGATAATGCTGTCCTTCAGCTCCATCTCTTTGTGATTTCTTTGTGTCTGCTCTTTGTCTCTCTCAGGAACGGCAGCAGGAGGGGAGGATGACAGTGAGACTCCCGTCACCTATGAGAGCACGCTCTGACATCAGCATGAGACTCCTCAGAAGTCTGAGCTGTTCTTCAACCACCGCTTTTCCATTAGTACCCACTCGGCCCCACATGGCTCGGCTTTACAGGGTCAAGGTGCTTTTCCATTCCGAACGAAGGCCGGACTGATGTCATTAACACGCGACACAAGCACGAGGCAACAATGGAGGACACGCAGCAACCATTAACCATCCAAACCTCGCCGTTGGTTCACGGGTTAGTGGTCCGAAACATTTCTGTTCACGTTAGGCGTCCAAAACATTTCTGTTCACATAAATAACGAAATCAGACATTTGTCGTTTCTGCGTTTTTAAAATGGGAAGGGTTCATTGACGGAGTCGCCATCTAATCATGTGACCCCCTAGCCAATCAGAGCCTGGCAGTCTCAGCCCTGATGGAACCCCGAAAGAGTAGGTGCTAAAGTTGTGACTGTTTAGTGGGGGCCAGCCCCAAGTGGAAACGCAAAGAGTACAGTGTAGAGCGGCAACTAGTGGAAAAGCGCCACAAGTGGCTGTCGGTCAGCTCCTGATGATTGAATCAGTCTTTATTTATATCCTCGGGTCTTTTCCAGGCCTCGTGCTCCAAGCTAATGACCTATGTCCCCCTGTCTGCACTGTCATGCTGTTCCGCCCGACTGTCAGTGGACGTTCAGCCGGATTTACTGTTTTAGTGAGACATGTTAATGGTTTACATTTTTTGTAAAGATATTTTTAAAAAGTTTTTGTCTTGTCATGTCCCCCAAAATGTAGTACTTGCTCATTTTTGTGTCATTATTTGAGGTACTTTGACTTATAAGGTGACTCTTACATAACAGGTGGCCCACCAAAGCAGTGTCTGGTAGGCTGTGTGATGGAATGTGTTGTTTTAGATGGCTGAACAGTTTTTTGTTTTGTTTTTTCTTGTTAAACACAGTTGTTTTGTACCTGTTCAGCAAGTACGTCACCTCTTGTCCAATGACAGCTGGAATAGAATCCAGTTCCCCTGCAACATCAGTAGGAGTAAGCTGTAGAGACGATGGATGGACAAAGATTTATGCTTTATTCATATTTTAGCTGTATAAGGACAATTGCTCAGTTTTGACTATTCTCAGGAAAACATAAGAACACACATTTTTTACGGAATGCTGCCGAAATACCTACGATATCAACTACATGCACTACGTGTCTTTGAGCGTCATGAGTAAATGGTGATCCTGTCCACATTTATGTGAACCTAAACTTTTCTAAGTTACTGTTGACTTTTTTTTTAAACTTCAGAAGTATGCAGTGGCACTTCGTGTGTTTTTGATTGATATGGTATACATTGAAATGTTGTGTATTAGTCTATTTATGAGAAATTTAAAGCATTATGTTTTTTTGTTTTTACAAAGCAATAAACATTATGAAATGCTCAGATTGTCTTTTTAACAAAAAAACAAATCACATAGCTGACATGTCATTAAACCTTATTCTTCTGCATTTAACTATTTCAAAACCAATACTCCCTTCTCTATTTTATGAAGACATTAACACAAAAAATGAGGCCAGCATTCAGCTGAGATCACAATCACTGAGCACCAAACAGACCTATTTAACATAAAACCTTGATAAAAGAATGATTCCACAATCTTGAGGATCTTTAAGCTTTCTTTGTTGGTGTTGTGGATTGAATTCATTGGCTTGAAATCTGTCAGGATCGCTAGACTTTGAAAACTCTGGTAATCTCTTGCCCCCCCTCCGTGCAATTAAAATGCTATTTAAAACAAAACTGTGTGCACGAGGTAAAACCACACATGGCTTCATGCAACTGATTCCTTAAACGATGATCCCCAAATGCAAGCCTGATTATGAAGTGGAGAAATAAGCAGTCAGTGATGCACTTAGTGAAAGTGTTATTCTTTTCAACTCAAAGCCACATGAGTTCCTCAAATGCTAGCAAAACAAGCTAAAATACTAAAAAAGTTGAGGTACACATAAAGCAGATCTTTTTTCTTTATATTTAATGAAAAGATTCAAGTCATAGGCTAACAAAGTTACATAAACTGTTTTTTTTAGACACATGAAAATACAGATCTGATAAAACAAATTGTATTAATTACATTCTTGCTGATTAGCCACAAGGGGGATTATCTAACAAGAAGGCAACTGGATACAGTAACTTTGAAAATACAGAAGCTTGGCGAAAAAAAGTGCTGTATGACACAATTTCTTATGCAGTAAAGGTTCCCAGGCTTCAGTATGTTGAAGTTAAAACTGCATATAAAAATGATGATGCAGTGGTTTGAAATGCATTAAGGCAGCTGAGCTGAACACAACAGAAAAAAAGCTGTAGAATAAGTTGGTTCCCATACAAACAATAACTTATAAGAGAATATCTTACATCCTTAAAGAGCGGGTATGTTAACATTTGGCACACAGACAGTCCAAAAGATAAAAGAATAAGCTGTCTATTTCATAAAGACTTGTACGTAATGAAGATATATACAACAATGAATTTAATTAGCCAATAGGATCATTCAACCAATACATGATTGAACAGGAAAGATGACGTCTCCCGAAATGAGCTCAGATTATTGGTACTCAAAGAGTTGCTGCTATTACCTTTAAGCGAGCCCCTCAAAATGGTCCCAGCAGTTCGTGATAGATTCCAAAAAGACTGACACATGGACAAAAAATGGATTTATAGTCTTATAAAAAAGGCTTCTTTGTGAACAGAATAAGTGAAGGACAATGGACCATGAAAAAGAAAAAAAATATAACACGAGTAGAACATTATCAATAGCGAAATGTCACAAATGACACCAGAAATGAACCAGTTTTTAGACTTTGAGGCTATTGACTGTGTTATGTTTTAATGAAAAAGGAAATAAAAAAGTATCCAAGATGAGAAAGAGACAAGAAAATGTACAGACAAGTCAGAGGTTCACTCCCATCGATGGTCATTTATACTATCTTCTTTTTGAGTATGAGCGGTCCCACGTTGTCTCCAGTTAGTTCATTGTGCTTTAAGTGTGACTTGTCACAAACAGGAAACTAAAACAGGAAACAACATAATGTTAAGTGATAGGCAGAAACTCCCCCCCAAAAAGTTCACCAATTTAAAGAATTCTAATAATAGCTAAACTTTTAGGTAATAAACTGCTTCCCCTGTTCTACATCATAAATAGAAACATCTGTGGCACGCAGACACGCTGCCCTCAGAGTTCATCCCAGTGCAATTCACACAATGCTGAGGATGGGAGAAAAAAAGAAAAATCAACTTACAGTTTTTGAGCGCCAGCAGCGACAGTAACACACGTTTGTGCAGTTCAGGTCCTCGATGTCTATCTCATTTACCACTTTCGGGTTCTCCTTTTGGATCTTTAGGTTGATCAGGCAGTCTTTTTGTTTCTTCTTCTTTGGCAGAAATGGACGGATAGTGAGATAGCCAAGCAAAGCCAAGATGCCCAAAAGAGGCAGTAAGCGGAGCCACTCGGACACTGCGGACACACATCATAGAACACACATTAGCAAAAGTACAAAAAGAAAGCTCCATTATGGACAGAGGGAAAAAAATAGCCTTTGCCACAGTGTGGTGTGGTTGTAATAAAAGTACAAGATACAACAATGAAACTGTGCATGCCAATATCTAAATAGTTAATATCTGTATCCACAACATCCAGTGCAGTAAAATAAAAAGAACATCTGCTGTAAAAGCCATTCAGTACAGATTTCTATTTTCCATCTCATCTACATTTCAGCTCTGTCGTATCATTACACTCCATCACTGCTGAGTATCATATCACACCAGCAGCTACGATGGGAAAGGCCCGGCTCAGGCTGGGAAACGGCTTTGGGGAAAATCCAGTGTACATCCTCCCCATGAGCTGTGAGAGCAAAGGGAAGCTGAACGGCCAAATAATGACTTATGTCAGACCCCCGTTCCAGGGACTTTTCTTTATACACCTGTTACAGGAAATATTTTGACGCTTAAAGGAATCTTTCTTTCATTTTGAACATGTTAATTAATTGCAAATAAGCAAATATATATAAAAAGTTCAAAAAGACATTGGTACATAAGCTTGTACATAAATGCTTTTACTTCAAGCAACCATGACAATAGTTAGGTCCACAACTAAAAGGTAAGAAGATGAGTTATTTTGACACCCTAACTGAAGGTCTTAGAAAACTGTAAACTTGTCTTCATCTGGTTTGCCACAAGAACAAAAATATATATAAGAAAAACTCAGTTTATTGACTGCTTTGTCCTCTTTTTGGGATACTATCATGGTCCGATACTGGATCTGGTGATCAGCGTGAGGGTTAGGGTTAGTCCCTTGGGATTTGTTCCTTAATCACTTTGCTTTATCTCAGTGGTGCATCAGTAATTGACTATTAAGTAGTTACTTCAGTTACTTAATAGAAAACGTGAAGGATTTGGATGACCTGGATAAAGCATCTTTTGCATTTAATCTTTAATGAATTATCCAAGTAACCAACATGCAATCATTATGTTAGTTTCCTGCCCCCTTATCACATTCTTTAAGGAAAAATAAGCATCCACTGCTATCTGATTAACATCATATTTGAATTTTAAAAACGGACCCTGTCTCCCTTTTGCCACAGCCAATGGTCCCCAAATACAACTTTGTTTGGTTAACACCTTGTTCACTCAAACATGGTTCTTCCTCCTGAGGCCAAGTTCAAGTATGTGCATGAAGCCTTTTCCCACATGTTTCTTTATACATTTGGACAGGTCTAACGAATTGGAAATGCCTAGACAATTTCTTACTTGGGGAGACGTTGCAGAAAAGAGCTGATCAGTGAAACGTGACAACAATTTGAAGGGCCCTTTGCGAATTTTGAAGCAACTCACGTGGGCAGGCGGTTTACATAATGTGTATTGTCAGGTCTGAGACGCACTGACCACCCTGTGCATCACTTCCAACATGACATGACCCTACATCTTGGCCTGCAGAGCCAAACACCATCGCAAACACCAGACCGCCTTTCTTAACTTTGTATTCCCCTGAGGTCATCACTAAGTCCGTGGTCTCGAGCTAGACTATGTAACGACAATCAACTGTTCGTGACACCAACAGTACAAAAAAAGCACAGCATTTTTGAGGGGGTTGGTGGGGGGTGTTACTACTTTTTAAGACTAATTGTTCAATTTAGATGCAAGTTGAGTCAAGTGCTGCGTGTTAAGTAAGAGGTGTCCACGGTTAATTCAAAAGTCATCTTCGCAGGACAGTCAGAGGGACAGCACATCTGCTTTTTACCTGTTAACCTCGTGAATCCGCCGATTGTCTCCGGAAGCGGAAGCCTCTTAAGGTAAGCTGGAAGCTGGACTTTTATTATCCTTGAGATAGTTTCAAAAACCATCTTGATTTGCTCTGCAGGGCCAGTGTCTGCGCTTGACTTAGTTCCTGTGCTTCGTTTAGGCTGCTGCGTCGATATTTGAGCGTAGCTTGGCGCCGGTACGTAAAGTAATTTCATGGAATAAGAATATGTGTCAAACACAACGTAGATGTGTCTGTGAATACACGTAAGTGTGTCACATGATTGCTGTGTGGCCAATGAGCATCGGAGGAGCTGGTAGTTCCTCATTGGGCGACTCAAATTTAGTTAGAAGAAAATAAATCCCCGTTTAATAAAGTTCATAATGAAGCTAAGATGTAACATATTGACGATAAAAAGTTTAAATATCAAACTGCTTTAGAAATTTAGTTGATATTGTCTATAATTAAAAATAATAGCAGCCTAACACGGTGATCTACCAGCTTTTAGCCTATTCAAGATCCATGAAACTCAACTGGGAACTACTCGTTCAACCATTCAAACTTTGAAACTTAAAACAGTCTGTTTTTTTAAGTATGCGTAACAGCTTTTGTAGACAAATACAAAGAGACAGACTGAAAGGAACTGCTCGGATAGATCCAGCAGAACAAAAAAATAAGTAATATACTTTTAGAGGTACAATCTCATGATAATAGTTTAAAAAAAAGTTTTTTTTAAATAAACTGTAAAAGCATTTCCTAATTTTGTCTATTTATTTCGCATACTATTTTTTGTGAATTATTAGAGTGTTTGATTACATTAATATTTCAACCATCAAAAGGGGCACAGTTTGTCTCACATTAGTGTAATATCTCGTATTGGTAAATGCTGAGCTACAGCAGGACAAATCAGGAAAAAAAGGGCTTTATTTTCACAGGATGAAACAATGATTTATCAAATATTTCAGTGGTCAAACCCTTGCCATAGATATGAAGTGAACAATGAAATGAACCACTGACTCACAGTCATATTCATAATTTCACTCTGTGGCATGAAGTTCTGTGGGGTTCTTGTTCTCTTTTCTTGTTTTTATTCAAGACTTGGTAATATCCAAAAAAATACAAAAGAGACTTTTTCCCACATCGACTGAAACGCAATGGAGCTAATTCTTTATTTACAAATAGTTATTTTTATTGTATCCATAGCTTAGAAAATATAGATAATTAGTAATAATTTAAAAAAAATTAACTAAACTTTTTGACCTAATTGAGAAACAATGTGTACGGAGAATAAGGGTAACTTTCTGTGAAATCATCACCATATCATACGTTTTTTCATATTCATCACGTGTTTTATTTTTTAAATTATATACAGTACTTGAAAGAAATCAGGGAAAAGTCGCCCTCTAGTGCTCACACAAGTTTGCCTTTCTTGAAACGCTCTATATTTCTAATAACTTCAATACCCACAGTGCATTGCGTAGTTATAGAGGACGGCTGCTAAGCCTGCTGAATCTGAAAAAAAATAAAAAAACGTTGGTGTCTCCGTAAATGTCTCAAACTCATGTATTTGAAACAAAAATATATAATTGAGAAGTCATGTGAACGAATTATTTAGGCCTACAATATAAAATAAAACAAAATTGGTTTTCAGTTTAATTTTGCATGGGAATATCAGTCGTCGACTGAATTCGCCTCGTAAGGTCCTTAGCCTCTAGTGTCATTGGTGAATGACCGAAGATGTCTCATAGCAGGTTGTTTGCCAGGCTGCTTTGTAAGTATTTAAACAAATTTTAATTTTCCAAAAGCTTGAAACTTTTGCAATTTAACTTCTGTAACACACGTCTATGAATAATCCTTTTCCGGCACATTTACAGGGCTTTGCAGACCCATACAGGGTTGTCCTCACTAGCTTGTTTGGCTGTCAGTTGGCCACCATGGACGTTAGCCACGTTAGCCTTCATACTGTGGCTGCATAAAGTACGCTGGTAAAGCTAATTGGCAGTTAGCTACCTAGCTAACTGGCTAGTTGTCTGTCTCTTCACTAATGTCCATCGGAGACTTAACTTCAGCCAGGGTCAGCTTCCAGTCAGTCTTTGACCTTGGACGATCTCTTATCTCCGGTGCTTTTATTGTGTCAGATTAAGTTGATATGTCGGAAGTAAGAGTGTTTGTCGTTCAGCCTGCAGAAATTAGAGAAGCTATCATAGCCTTTCAGTTGCTTGCAGGCTGGATTCTGACAGCTCTGCGAATTTATAATTTATTCAATTCAGAGCCTCTTCCTTGCCTGTAAGGGTGTTGATTTATGACAAGAAACGATTGTAAGATAGTTTTAGTAACTCAGTGTATGAAGATATTGAGCTCGTATGTGAAAACTGAACTTTGAACAGTTGACATTGAGGCTCTGAGAGCTGACCAAAGTTCAGTCAACCGGAGTTGGCTGTGTTTGCACTACTTTAAAGGCATTTTTTCCCCCACTGAGAAAAGCCAAAAGCAAAATACGGTCCTGTCTGTGATCAGAATGATTAAGAAAAATATAAGTTGGAATAGAATGGTATGGAAATATTCATTTTTAGCCATCTGTATACTTGTGAGTTTATCTTCAACATAAGAATGCCCCCCCATTTCTGTCAAATTCCCTTAGATTTTGTTATCGTGTGATAAACTATTTTCCTTTAGGGATTGGGCATGCTTGTATGCTCAGTGCTGGGAATATTTTTGATATCCTTGCATGTAACATCTGACTTTGGTTCTTGAAGATCACAGTATCATTTGATCTGATTAGGCAGCAAAGTCTGAATGTAAATTTCAGGCTGCAACAAATTGAATGTTTTTGTAATTATTGCTTAATAAATGAGTTTACAAAATGTCAGGAAGCAAGGGAAAGAAAAGGCCACTGCAGATTCCCAGAGCTCACAGTGACATTTCAAAAGCTGTTACTGGCAAAATTTTATGAACAATTTTTAATTCTTTCTTGCTCAATAACTCACTAAAATGATTAATTGGTTCGGTGTATTTGTGTTTATTTCGACTGTATTGATGGAAATGGATCAGTCAGCACCTACCAAAGTAATATTTTTAGTAATTCTGTTGGCAACCAGAGCCTTGGATACAATAATGCATTTTCGGATACACACGTGTGCTCATAAGAGAGAATGAATGGACCATTATGAACATTTATGACATCTGAAGCATGTAATCAGTCGCTGCTGATTTCCTGGCCAATTTGTCTGTTGCATAATAAGCCCTGGGATCTGGAAAACAGACGGCAGCAGTTTGAATCTGCTGGAGTCAAAGTATAGCGGAGAGCTCGTGCTGAACTGAACCGCTGAATTGTGTGCGTTGTGTTGAACAACCTGAAAAAGTCTTTTTTTTTTCTTTTTAAAGTGCGCTGCCCCTTCTCGTCAGTCAGTGTAATTGAATATTATGTGCTTTACATGTGTCACATTCCCTGACATTTTCAGAAGTATAAACAGGTCCTTATCATAAACAACCAATTAAATGTATTGATAGTGCATCCAACACTTCTGGGAGAGCTCATGGTCACATTTTTAAGTCAAGCCTGAAGGAAAGCTGATAGTGTTGCTTGGCAACTGTAAAAGAAGTTGGTGCCAAAACACTGCAGTGTTTTTAAAGTCTTTAGAGAGTAAAGTCTTCAAAGAAGAGTGGAAATGGAATTCTTTCTTTAATCTTTTACCTTTCGCTGACAAAATAAACTTTGGAGGATATTGCATTTTGTTGAGTTTTCTGTTCTCCCAAACCATGTATTGCAGCAGTTTGTAGTCTGTTAGTCTTTTCTGTTCTATTCGTGCTGCGAGTTTCGATTATTGATATCTGGCATCTGATTGCTTTGTATCCTTCAGTGCAGCAGAATGGAGTCCGACACTGTTATACTGGATCAAGAAAGAACCTCTACATCAACAAGAACACAAAAGTCATCTGCCAGGGTTTCACAGGAAAGCAGGTTTGTTTCTGTGCTGTTGCACCACATCAGTTCAGTTGACCTCCCCTCATTGTGAAATCTCAGAGATTTTTATGTTTTTGTTTCATCTACACACTGTGCTTCACTTTCTTTTCGCATTTGTGACCAAAACAGGTTCTATTTTTTTATTTCCCTGAGAGTAAAGGAGGAATTAAACTTAATGCCTACTGAGGAGATAAATATTAATGATGTTTGTTGCTGAAGCCATATAGAGAATTGATAAAAACAGTTTTTAAATGACGTGAGCAGTAATATTCATGCTGTCCGATAAAACTGGAAATTCAGGTTCATTCAGCTTATATATCAGATGGTAATAAAAAGAGAAAATCTTGTGATTTATCCCATAACAACACAGCTCTGTGGTCATTACACTAGTCAGTAGTAAAGTTTTTATACCTGAAGTATTTCCTTTTTTGCACGTTCCATTCCAAAAAAATCAAGTGACTTTCAGTGATAAAAGTCCTGACAAATGTGTTCAACAAGCCAGAAACATGGATTTTACAGATTTCTGTCCAGCCTCTGGGCTATACATTCTTCCAATAGAAAGTTGTTGAATAAAGTTCCAGTGAACAGGCCGGGTAATTAGGGGGATAAGAAATGAAGCAAGAGCTATTGAGTGTGCATTGCTGTGTCCTCTTGGCTTGATAAGCAGACTGTTTTTCAATATTATTGTCCCAGCCTTTGGGATAATAATGAGTAGCTAAAACAGCTAAGTTAGCTGGATGAACAAGTTTATTACAAATGTGGAGAAAATGCTGATTCATAGCTTCTTATTCCTTTTGATAGGGTAGTTGTTTTTTGTTCAGGTCATTTATTTGTTCTTGCAGTGTTCACTTGTCATCATCCATGCGGTTGCTGCATCTTTAGTACTGATTCACAACCACCCTCTTCCCAACCTGAGATTTTTGCTGGCATTCACACACATGATTTTGTTTTTGTCTCACAAACACACTTCACCCCCTTTTTAGTCCAGACCAAAACCCTCTACACAAGCTATCTCTATATTTTTTGCTCTAACATGTTTCAAGGAGAAAAAAAACGGAGTATATCAGTAATTATCTGCTAAAATTAAGCTTCTAACCACTTATTTGAACTCTTTATTTTACAGTGTATTACTTTTGTTTTAAGACAAGTTGGAAATTAGTTTAAAAAAACCTGAAGCCCAGACTGCAGTCTGTTATTTTGCTGAAAGCCTTCTTTTTTTTAATAGGCTACTTTTGATTAGTCATCAAAAAGTATTTTAATCAACTTCAACAATTCATGTTCATATCTTCTGAGTAAAAACTTTCTGTATTGTTTTCTGTTTTGTTTTTTTCGGTGTCTGCGAGTTCACATAAAGTTTAAATCCCCAGCATGGGCTTAAGCAGTGTAGAAACTGGGTGTTGAGAATAAGTGAGTTAATATTACAGTTAATTTTGTAGTTTGATTTCGACCTCAGGGTGGATATATTTGAATCAGACTACTGAAATATTTCTTAGGAAACTTTAATCTGCCATTTCATATCACTCAACAAGCAAAGATGAAGCAAGTAGATGAAGGATGTAAATGCCCGAGCTGTGGCCGGGCAACCAGGCTGCTTTCTCTTTGCTGCTCCATGTGAAAGACCCTGTCAAGGCCGATAATTTACAGTCTGTGTCGCTTGGGATCATCCAAAGCCACATTTGATTGGTTTCTCAAGTGCTTTGCAAGGAGATTAAACTAAGCCTTACACCATTAATTATTTATCAACAGCGTTTTCATTCTTTCTCATTGAATATGTTTAATGGTGCCTTTGTCCCCTGCTGCAGTTAAGCCTCAGCTCAGCAGACAGGGCCATCAATCCCCAATCAAAACATATTTCCTCCCAACTCAGAGTGCAGCGATATCTGGATGTCAATCCTTTAAAAGTTCCCATTTGATTACTCACACATATGTCCTGATTCCCCTTTTCTCCTTCTAAACAGGGAACATTTCACAGCCAGCAATCCATTGACTATGGCTCCCAGTTAGTTGGAGGTGTTTCTCCTGGTAAGGGTGGCAAGACACACCTTGGCCTGCCAGTCTTCAATTCAGTGAAGGAGGTATGTTCATTGGTTTAACCCATTAACGTCTAGTGGGGTTTTCTTCGGCCTCCGGTCACTTTTCATATATTGTTTGAGAGCTAACGTTCGTGACGTTCAAATGTTGTGCACAATTTCAGAATATTATTATAACTGTAGACACAGTAATCACTGAAGCGACCGATATTTTTTACAATTTTCCATCAGATGTGCACAATTTGCACATACTCTTGAGCACAACCATAGTTGGCTCTTTTAGCTAACCTTTGCTTGAATTCTAATTGGTGAACTATTACCAATAGTAAAAAGATTTGAAGTGTACTTTAAAGACAAAAAAGAAATATTAGCACTTTTACTTTAAACTTTTAACTAAAATACATTATGGACTTCTGTTTTCTTCCCCTTAGGCAAAGGAAGGCACGGGGGCAGATGCCTCTGTGATTTATGTACCTCCGCCATATGCAGCCGCTGCCATCATCGAAGCCATTGATGCAGAGATACCTCTGGTGGTTTGTATCACCGAGGGCATCCCCCAGCAGGACATGGTGAGGGTCAAGCATAAACTCCTGCGCCAGGGTGTCACCCGTCTCATAGGCCCCAACTGTCCTGGAGTCATCAACGTAAGCACACAAACACACACGCCTGATCTGCTTACCTTTGTTCTTCTTCTGTCATCAGCCTTTTTTGTTTTGTTTTTTGGATTGTAAACTTTGATAAATCAAATAATGGACCACAGTTGGTACATTCAGGTGTTCAGAAACTAAAGTAGTTACAACTACGCTGGTTAAGTTTTGGACAAAAAAAAGCAAAACAATCAGACTCATTTTAAACTGAGGAGTAATAAAGCAATATTTGAATACATCGAGCTGTGTATTTGTCAGCATCATGCAAATTTTTTAATCAAACTCAAAATGTGTTCTTTTGCAGCCTGGGGAATGCAAGATTGGCATCATGCCGGGGCACATTCACAAAAAAGGAAGAATTGGTGAGAATCAGTAATGTCCTTGAATTTAGTTGTAATCACAGTTAGTAAAATGAGTGGAAAGTAAAATGTGCCCAGGATTTGACATGGATGCAAGGGGATAAAAAAAAAAAAGAGAAATGGATTGAGTTATTCAATTGAAAACGTCCCAGTCGCCGCATCCAGCTTGATGGAGCTCCACATCAGCTTGACAGATCCCCCACCGTGTTGCTGAATGGCTAATTGTTTTTCTATTTTTTAACTAAACCACAAGTGTTTCTCCTCCAAGACACCTTTGTTTTTTGTCAAAATTGTAAACTTATTAGCTTAATGGAGTGGATGTAAATTTGTGGTCTCAGGCACTGCTTCTCACACAGAATTTGTTATTTAAACTTCAGAGGGGTGACAGAACAGCAATTTAAGGACCCCAAATGCCCTTCTATTTTTCCAAACGTCCTTTATTTAAATCCAAGCTCGAGCTTTTTCTGTTGACGGCTCAAGAATAATCACGTACCACCGGTCAGTGTGTCTGATTCATTGTGATCCGACTACCTTCGTCACAGTAGATGTTAATGGAACAGATGTGATCTGAGTTGTTTTGGCTGTGCTGACGAAGTCGTTCCGTCAAGATGAAACTGTCAGCGACAGTGGCATCATTTTAGTCCTTTTATCCACTTTGACCAGAATGGGGTTTGCAATGCGTGTGCCTGCTAATGTTTTTTATTTATATTTCTTTTTTTAAATCTGCTTCTCAGGCATTGTGTCAAGATCTGGCACTTTGACGTATGAAGCTGTGCACCAAACCACACAAGTAGGCCTGGGCCAGTCGCTGTGCGTAGGTAAGATTCTGATGTCCGACGTCTTGCTTTGATGACACCTGCAGCTCTTTTACGTCACGGCAACACCTTGAAGTGGAGAAAAGTTTTTCAGAAACGAAAAAATCTTTTGACCAGCCTTTCTACCACAGAGAAAATCCATCTCCAAGACATTAAAAGTCATTGAAAAACAAGTAGGCCTCATTATTATTAAAGCATTTTAATTATGTAGTGTCCTCCGGTCAGATTTGATAAAACCAGTGCTGTAATGGTATTAAATATGGTAAAGTTCATTAAGGGGGTTATTGTAGGATCTGCTTGAGACTTCTAAAGATTTTTTAATGTCCTTTAGGCTGCTGCAAATTACACTTAATGCAATATTTAATATCGCTCTCATCTTTGTTGCTAGTTAGCGGATTCTCCTAAATTATAATTTGTCATTTATTTTCTTCCAATTTATTTCTAATTAATTTTTTAACAGTATGAATATGAACTTTGAAGATAAATGTAGGTAATATGGTGACCTTTAGGAATTCTTCCTCCTTTTGCTGTTACACACAGTGAATTATTTTAAAGAAATCCTCATTAAAAAGACGCTCCTTAATCCAAAAAGAAAGGCATCATCAATCTGTCATGCTGAGAGGAAGGTTGTTTGGATCAATAAAAGAAAATTGAAAAGTGGTACAGAACGGTGCATTCATAAATCAATCCATATCAACCTAATATTGGATGTCTCAAAAATACTGAGTGCAAGCTTTGTGGAATTTTCTAGCTTTTCAAGCTGGTTGTTGCCAAAACAGCTCTTACAAATCTGCTCAGAGCCGTCTGCTCGAGGAAGCAAACAGGAGTTCAGATATTTTGTTAGAGTGCAATCGAAGGCAAGAAAAAGACAGCATGCTTAACATTTGTTTGAAGTTTGTTAAAATACCATTTCAAAGAAATGCCAACGATCCACCAAATATCACTCGATGTGTTCATTTGAGATGGAGCAGTGAGGGCAGCCCCGCTGAGGCGCTTGTCGGATCGTATTGATGTGAAGCCGCCCGTTTCCTTGACTCAGTGATCCTAAGATACATTCAAAAATTCTATGTGATTTTTTTCCTTTTTTTGTAGTATTGAGTGCATCAGTGTTTTGCCTTCTCTCCTGCTAGGCATTGGCGGTGACCCATTCAATGGCACCAACTTCATAGACTGTCTGGAGGTGTTCCTGCAGGATCCGAAGACGGAGGGCATCATCCTTATTGGAGAGATCGGGGGGAATGCCGAGGAGAATGCAGCCGAGTACCTGAAAGAGCACAACTCTGTAAGCGAGTTACATTCCAGGCACCCTACGTTTCAACCCCTCGTGTTACGTTTCAGCCCGCGGTGATTCACATCTGCGGACAAATCCGCTCCTTTGAAAAATGTAGCGTCTTTTTGAATTAGCGCCTACTTACCCTTTCAAAACTGTCCGCTCCGGTAAAGGCAGGAACCCCTCACACGCTGACAGCATGTGACAGGAGCTGTGCTCTGTCTCTTTGATCACAGCCTCGGGCCTCTTGCCACATATTCCTGTGTGGTTTGTGTGATCAAGGTAAATGGCGACAGAAGGGATGAGGTGTTCTTCGCAGGTCATGCTGGAAAAATGGATGAGCAGCGAGACGCCCTCTTGTGATTTTAAAAAGCAGCTGGGTGATGATTGGCTTCCTTTGCCAAGTGACTGTAAACTTGTCGGTGTCTAACTTCCCCCGGATGGAGCTCGGCCTTTCACATCTTCCAAGTTACTTTACCAGGTTAATTTTTCAGTGTCTGTGCGTGCGTGTGTGTTTGGTTCTGTGTGTGTGTGCACTCAGGGCGCTGTTGAGCTGAAAATGGATTCGATTTGCCCTCGGCTGCTCTAATGCATGCAAATCTCCTGCTGGCGTCTCAGTAGAATAACTTCTCTCACCGAACAAATAAAGTACAAACACCCCCCACCCAGTCACCCAGAAGGTTGACAGTAAGGGACAGTTCAATTGAAACACATGCATGAAAAAGCCCGGCCGAGCGTGGGAATAAGCTGCAGATTCCCTGTTCAAAGTTAGTTGTGCTGAAAATTTTTGAAAATAGTGTTGTTTTCTTTCTTTTTTTTTCTTTTTTCCCTTTTCGGCTTTTTTCAGCTTATTTTTTACAGTCAAGGCCAACGTGTCACCTTGTTTTCACTTTGAATTGAACTCACCTTTTGTTTATTTTAATACTTTTTAATTCAAGCTACTGAAACACCAGACTTATCTGCACCGCTCTGTGCCAGCAGAAGCTGCTCCCATTATCGTTTCCTCTATAAGCTGGAAGCGAAAAATAAATAAATAATACCTGTGGCTTGTTTGAATTTCTTCAAACCGCTTATAGACGCCCTTGGCAGTACTAAGCCCAGGATGATGTGCTGGTGTGCCACCAAGTAGCGGGGAAAACTTCTTTTTGTAGTCTGAAAGGAAACCCACAGGAACTTAGAGTGGAAAAAGAAAATAATGTTGGTAAATGGCAATATTGTAAGATCACCTCAGTTTTTTCTCCATTTATGTTGTTGATGTTTCTTTCCGAGAATGTGATTTGGATAATGGTTACACATATAAAGGAAAAGTACATATTTTGTATTTGAAGAAAAGAACTCCCCCCCAAAAAACAGGCCTTTTAAATCCTTTCCTCTTGGTAAGGAGTTGTATTTTCAGCGTTACCAGATGCTTTTAGAACAAATATTTACATTAAGTGCACACAATTTGTGACTGTGATGATTGTTAAAGGTAAAAGAACATGTTATTATTTTTTGACTGGTGTGCAAACACAGCAGGACTCGAATCGAGCTGCTAGAGCCCAACAGGGGGTTAAAATCGCTCACTTTAATACTGTTTGTTTTGATTATGATCCATTAGATATTGTATTCATGAGAAAAATATTTTTGTATTGTATTGAAAAAAAGATAATGCACCCTAATTAAGAATTTGCCCGTTTGCCCTGAATTTTACATCAGAAACAGCAGCCGTCAGATTGAATCGGGCCCAGGGGACAAACACCATCCCATTACTTTAAAAATCAGACGTTTGCCAGTATTAATAGTTTTGGGTTTTTTAATATTTTACTTTAAAAATAATGTAATATTGTACAGGTTTGTAATATTATATAGGAAAAAGGGGGAAATTGTTTGGTTATCATCATGATTATTATTGTTATTGTAAGTGTTTTAGTATCTTGCTCCATTGAGTGATTGAACTTAATGCCATCAGGGATTGAACAGACCTGAAGCTCAGACTGGAAATCATTTATAGCACATTGAACGCATTACAGATTGTTTTATCTACACACGGCATGAGTTCATAGCTTTTTCCATCCTGAAGTAAAAAAATAAAATTACATTTAAATCTTAGAGTAGTTTCTGGTTAGAGGTTTTTGCACTGAAGCTTGCTTGTTGGATCACTGATTTATTTTTCGTCTTTCTTTTTCGGCCTATTGACTTTTTGCTCAGCCTGTCCACAGCAACTTTAATTCAGACCCTTGTATGTCTGTGAGGTTGTAGTCTGGAGGAACAGTGGCTAGACAACTGTGTAATGAACACAAAATGACCAAAAAAAATAGTATTATCACTCTTAAGCTCTTGAATACAATTCCTCAATTTTCTTTCTGTACGCGTTTCTATAAACCTAAGCACTGCTCAGTCATGTTTGCACACAAAGACATTAGAACTCCCCTCTTGGTTTGCTAATTAAGGCAATAACTCTGCTAAAAGTGGAAGACAAAAGACTGGTAAAACGAATGGTAGTATGACTCCCCTCCCTCTATTAATTGTTACTTAGTGTCAAGGGAGGCTGGGATTAATAGAGTAATTAAACCTTTTTCGTTTGAGGTAGATTTAAGGCTGGATCCGCATGAGGGGGGTGTGTGTATCCAGAACGTGCTTAGCCTTCTGAGCAGGCTGTTTGGTGCTAATTTGTTTGGTGCTCACATTTTCGACGCAAAGAACAGATGCTTGTAACGTCTTCTGAGCTCTTTGGAACGATACGTCCTCCCTCACTTCGTTTCCCCCTTTCAACTCGTCGAGTTTTAATGTCCTCATTAGCTGTGGATTTTGAGCCGAGGCCCTTGACGTTGGTTTCCCTGCCCGCTGTACCTGCTGCTTATCTGAAAGCCATCCGCAGCTCATATTAATGGCTTCCGTCTTGTTCCTGCCGGTGTCGTGTTTAAATTTCGGTGGCGCGATGGCAGCGGGAGTGGATGCCTTTGAAGGACCTCGCGGTATTGCTTTTGGCTGTTAAACATGCCACATTCACTCCGAACGCGGTCGGGCAGATGAGCCCCAGCCTGCGCACACGTGCACGCGCGCCCACACAGCCGTCCTCCGCAATTAGCCTGTTATGCCTAAGTATGAAATATTATCCGCCGTTCCTGCTCGCGCACCCGGCCTCCGTCTATCTCGCCCGGCTGTGGTGTTATTGTGCGGATGAAATATTAGCTCTCTTCACCTTGGAAATGATCTTAACTGTTGAATGTAACATCCATCAATGGGCAAGCAGCACAGACGGGCGCTGAGCTAATCACTGGCTGCTTGACTAATTACCTTTTCAGAAATGAGATGATACGAAATGGCAGGAGCCCGAGCCTCTACCTGGTCATACACCACCCCATGCAATTAAATGTCTTGATTGACCCTTTGTTTTAATAACGCAGGCTTAGACAGAGATGACGGGGTTAGACAAGCCTGTTATCGTGGAACTCTAATGGGAGGACATGAGGTGCTTTGTGTCTAATGAATGAATATGATGCAGGTGCAGAAAACAAATGTAATTCTTCAGGGTTTTTTTTTTTTTCGTGAAGCAGCCCACTTCCTTCACCTTTTCTGATCCTTTACCTCCAATTGAGCTGTACCAGAAATCTTACATAAATCACGCCCTCCCGCTGAGCTCACTCTCTTTATTCTCCATCCACCAGGGCGCTAAGGCCAAGCCGGTGGTTTCCTTCATCGCCGGTCTCACCGCCCCTCCCGGTCGCAGGATGGGCCACGCCGGCGCTATCATTGCCGGCGGAAAGGGCGGCGCCAAAGAGAAGATTGCAGCCCTCCAGTCCGCTGGAGTTGTGGTCAGCATGTCCCCTGCGCAGCTGGGCAGCACTATGTTCAAGGTGAGTCTGCTGTGCCACGCCGAAGCTCAGAGGCGGAAAGAGCCGTAAATGTAGACCATATCGGAATAAAAAGTTCAGTGAAATGACAAACCAACTGAGATGGAGAGATTTATGAGCTGTTTTGAAAGGCTAAAGCTTAAATGTCACTTTTGGTTTTTAGTTGTTTGTTTGGCACTGTATTCTACTTCTTCTACTAACAGTAGTTGCCAAAGATTGAATGTTACCAGCATGTAAGTCATTCCTTAGAGTTGTTAAATAATCCACGTAGAGGAGAGGGAATAACCTGGAACAGCGCGCACTGTGACTGCACGTGTTTTTCATGCTTGTACACTTTTCAGTGTATTCCTCTTTCCAGAACAAAAAGGGCAGGAATTGTCAGTGTCTGTAAACGTTTCTACTGTGAGCCGCAGCTTTTCAGGTGCCAGTTGAAACGGCACCCACACAATCAGACAAAGTTATTTCCAACTCAACAAACGGCCAGAAACTCCCAAATTTCTCTAATCCTTGTTTCTAATGTTTATTCCTCTCTTCAGTTTAGATGCACACCCACATATTCTTGTCTCGTTTATGTTCCGCTTTCTCATTACTGTGGAAAAGAAACTTAATGAGGCTCAGTCACAAAGTGGCGTATTTACAAATGGCATCTCACCGGTGGTGAAAACATCAAAAATCAAAATCCATTGGACTGGAATGTTTTTTCTTTTTTTCTTGCTTCTTCTATCAGTCTAATCTCCTTTTGTTCCCGTCACATTGAATTGAGAGAAAATGCTTGCCTGAAAATGAGATGCTACGATGCTCTGGAAACAGTGAAAATCTGTCAGAGCTTTAAAAAAAAAAAGAAAAAAAAAAGAATATTTACTTCTATGCTGCTTTAGTGTATTTCAATAATTCTAAGAAACTATTGAACAGTTAAAATAGAAAAACAAAGAAACTGTGCAAATAAACAACAAAAAACAAACAATACAGGATCATACTTAGTTAATATAGGCGTATCCTCCTTTAGCCTCTGACCTTAAAACCGGGGGTTGCTTTTTACTCGTTGATTGCCGCTCAAACAATTCTCAGGCAATGTGTGGAGAACCTATTTTTTATGTAAGTGGCAAGGCTGAACTTTGAACATGCCCTTAACAAACAACAAAACAAAAAAAGGAGGACAGGGGCAGGAATTAGTGAACGTGTTGACAGTGGCTGTGGTGCCGCCGCTGCCTCTTTATTCCGGTTTATCTCAAGGGAAGCACCGTTAACAAGATGTATAAAAAGTGAAAGCATGTATTACACCCATTCATCATCCTATACTTTCATTACCACTGCTGGCACTACTGCACACAGATATAGATTTACATGACATTTTTTTGCCGGGGTTTAATTCATAATCATTGTGTGTAATGATGAAAAACGTGCAGCACGGTTGCTCATTTTGCCACACGTTGTGTTCATACATCTCTGTTAATCTCATTGACCGCTATAATCGAAGTAATAACATGTAAGAGAAGAAGATGGGTGCGAGGCTGCGGGCGTGGCCGGAGACGGCATCGCCCGACCCGCACGAGGCTCCACACAAGTGGTGAAAAGGTGCATCGGCAAAAGGGAGCTCACGTGTTACTATATTTAATCAGCCGAAAGTAGTTTATGAATTATGCATGCGGCTCCAGTGGAGATAGCATCAGCGGAACAGAAAGGGCCTCCGTGTCTCGGCTGCACCGTCCCTTTTTAGCTCCATGTTTATGCATTGTCAATTTTTTAACGAAAAAAAGGTGTAATTTCAGGAAGCAATGACGCTCTTACTTCCACCAGCACATCAAAACAAAGTGGGCTGAAGATAATCTTGCTTTCAGACCGCCACAAGTGCATCCTCACACACTGAGCAGGGCAGAACACAACATGGCACCCATCTCTGCTGGAGCTGTAACACTCACGCAGCCATTTCACAGTTGAGAAGAAGAAGATGAAATATGGCATGACTCTTTTTGTTTTCAGTTTACCAAAGCTTTTCATTTAGAGATGGAGGGGGGCAGACGGTACTGGGTTTATCAGTACTGCTCCTTAGCCTTGTACTTTGGAACTGTGGACAGACGATGCAAAGCAAGTGCTTATCAACATGAAATGTTCAAATCAGGGATAAGAGGCAGAAGATGACAGTAGCACTACACAGAAACTAGTAAATGTCTTCTATCTTATCTAGAAATGCCTCAATGGACTAGATTAAAAAGTTTAAAGTGTAACCTGTGTGGACTTGGCATAGCATGTGTGGATATCCCCTGCAGACCAGAACAAACACTGCAGTCTTTCTTTTAAATCTGTTACAAAGCGAGCGTCTTTGATACTGTAGAGACTCTTGAGGAGCTATAGAACATAACCAAACTCGCATTTAATTTTTATTATTGAAACATTCTAAATTTATCTAGGACAGTCTTTTTTCTTTTCTCACAGGGGAGCAAAAATATAAATGTTCACAAATGTATGAAATGTACATGTATAACATAAAATATTAAAAACGGGGAAAGTAACAGTCAAAGTTTGAGTGAAAGAAGTCAGGAGTTATACCCCCAGGAAAAAAAGCAACTGGCTACATCAAATTTATATTTAGTTTATATTAATCTTTTCTAAAATAAGCAAGGTAACCTCCAGAGATCGGGGTGTCAGTAAAGGCTCCGCTCACATTAAACCAGAAAAGAACAGGAAGTGAGATCTCTGTGGCTGTGAAGTACTTGACCATTCAAATCTTTTTCTCTAAATTATCTACGACTCACAGTTGTACTCACTAAACGGCCGACAGTTCTCACGCCTCCCGGCCTCCTAGGTTTTGGCCCAAAGCGGCCGTCACTAGCTTTTAAGTCTTGCTTTTCTGTCATGTCTTGCTGGCCTCTGCTTTCCTCCATTTCTGTCCAGAGGAGTTTTCACCCCTTGCTTTTAAGCAGTAACCTGTACTTGCTTTATTCGTGAGGACTCTTTTTTGAGTCTCTGAATTACTTTCACATAACATGTTCTCCCCCTCTGTCCATCACAGACGGCTCTGCTCGGTTAGAGCTACGACTCCTGTCACGCGCCTTTGAGTTAGTGTCTGTTGTCACTTCTTATCAAAGCCAGTCAGCTTATGTCCCAACTGCCGTCTTTCTCCTTTATGATTTTCTTGTCCAATGCCTGCTTTATTTTCCCTTTCAGCCCCTATATCCCAGCTTTTTCCCAATTTACTGACCCCTCCCTGGATCCAGTGCAAAAGCAGAAATCCAATGAACGTAACCGCAGCGTTTGTGTTTATCCAAGTTAATGTCGTCCTTCAGAAATGTCAGAAGCCTGGCTCAGACGGAGCTCAGATTCTGGAAACATGAAGCCTTTTTCCTCCTCAGGGTGGCAGTAGACCTCCAGGTTTCCGCACGTCACGAGAGGAACGAGCCAACATGTGCTCGAGTGCTTGTGTGTTCTCCAGACCTGATAAATGACATTTGCATTAAGTTACTCTCCCCACCGGAATGGAAAATTCTCAGGGAACAGCACATTCTATCATCCTGCGATTTGTGTGATATTCTCCAAATTGAATATGTAAATAGCAACATCCTTTTTAATGGCTAACATAATGCCTTCTCATTTACAGTCACATGGTTGGCCTGTGCAGATAAGCACATCCACCAAAGCCTGGCATAAATCAGATTTCTACAGATGTATCAGCCCTATTAATCACAGGAAGTGAGCTGTTTTAGTGTCGACAACTGGGACTTACTGACACATACGTGCCACGTGATTTGCACTCTCTAGGAGGAGTTTTTCTCTTTCTCTTTTTTTCAAGTCACTTGAGAACAGAAGTGCTCCCACCTTCAATAGCGGATCTGAAACACGGCATCAGAACACGGCCATGTGAATTCCACATGAATAAATCATTCACATCTGTCCGTCTGTCCTCATCTCATGTTGATTCTCCCCGTCTTTCTTTCCGCCGTCTGTCTTTCCAGGAGTTCGAGAAGAGGAAGATGTTGTAAAAATGTGCTGGAAGAAGACAGACCTTTTACCCTCCGCTTACAACCGGTGGTGATCGTGGCAGCGGACTGGCCCCGCAGTATCTCCCAACCCTGATAATTTCATCATCAAGATACGCACATACAGTGTTTATATTGTAATTTCTGCCATGAACTTGTACCTTGCACATAATGAGAAAATAAAACATTAGTATCTTAATGGTATCGTAAAGCCCTTGTACACAGTGTAAAGGCTTTGTAGGTTTGTCTTTTCTTCCTCCACAAAGCATCACCAGCTGGCAGAGGGCTGCCATAGTGATCTGTTTCATTCTATTATACTGTAAGATGTATTTCATCACCCATTTCTCTGGCTGTCCACCCGAATAAGAAATATTTCTTCTGCCACGTCCAGCTGTGTTGTCTGTACTTTCAAATGGCAAACAGAGAGAGCCCGCCTGGCTCCACATTTGTAGTGTGAAGTGAACATCTCACACAGATAAGAATGCAAAAATGGTGTCAGCTGTGTCGGGAACATGCTGTATTTGCAGAATCCATTAGTAAAGCACTTAAGATGAGGGTACCTTTTATTTATTTATTTTTAAGTCTGTTTGCATATTTTACTCTTAAATGGCCGACCCTGAAATGACCACTTCATTTGGTGCTTCCTGTTGACAAATGACAGCATTTGTTGTTGTCCCGCCTCTCTAAAGGGTTAAAAAGGCCAATTGATTTCTTTTTCCAGAGATTAATAGAGCAGCCATTGCCGCAGTGATGTTTGGTTTAAACATTTTAGCGCCTGGTTACAACGTTCAGCGTCAGCGTTCAGAAATGTATACGATGGTTAATAACAAGCCGTTATTAACCATCGTATTACTGGCATTTAAGAGAGCAGGAGAGATCAGAACGAAGGAATGTATTTAACGCTTTTTCCTAGTGATCTTTACTTTTCCAAAATGGCTGCTGTCATACTCCTCTGTGTTTGCTTGTTCTTTCTGACAGAGTCCCGCACTATTTCACCTGAGGAGGAACTGCTGTTCAAACACGGCCGTCTCTAATAACTGAGTGTAGTCATTGTTTCTTTTGAAGTGTGTGCCCTTTGAGTAGTCTGTGATCTATTCCCTGTTTAATCTTGATACAGAAATCTTAACAACGGGGCCCGCTCATCATTTACATACACAGCGAGCATGATGGGATTTTAATTGCCTAATTGAACCGTGCAGTGCAACTTTGTGGAGATGGTAGCATTTGTTGTGTTTCCTCACCAATTTATTGAGGGTTTTCTTTCATCTGCCGCATGCTAACATTACACCTGTAGGGTATTGTGCGTTATATTTAACGTTCCACCTACCATTGACTTGTAAGGCCAGTGTGAGCGCAAGAAAGCCATAGGTCCAATATCAACTCTTTCCTGTGCACAAGGTTAGATTAGACTTAAGGAAAATAAATCAAGAGATAAGGTTACAGTTGGATCTGATCCAACACAACCTGCATAAATGAACTCGCAGGGAACAAAAGTGTGTAATGAAGCATATAATGCCCTCCACTGGACATCTCTACAGCCTTTTTATCTTCACTACAGCAGTCAGCCAAGGCAGATTATTCTGTGTACACACTGTTAACAATTACTTTTTAATCTGCATTAGCAAATTAACATAATGACTGACAGTGGAACAGAAAGGTTATTTGTTTAAAGACTCAGAAGTTCCTGCGTGTTCTGAAGTCTGTTCTGAAGCCAGACTGCACTCTTCCTCGGTTTGACTCACAAAAGGCAAGATGTCGATTAGATATTCAGCTTCTGTTTTTGCTCTTAAAGGTTCTCATTCAGCATTAACGCAGCGAATTCAACAGCCACCCTCATTTTCCTTTATTTCTAGTGACGTATGAAATAATGATTTTGTGTTTTCTTCCAAGTATGAGCCACAAAATGAGGCCCCATTTCATTCCACATTGAGTCAGTTAGATAACTCGGATAACAATAATTCTGCTGTGTAATTGACTCCTAGTTTCTTTGGTTTCCATGGATATGCAGAGGCTCATCCAAAATAAGGTTAACCATTATGAGCAGTGACGACAGCAGCCACCCACAGCAGACGATGGCAACCTTCAGTTCATAGCAAATAGTTCCAAGGAATACATTAACTTTTTATATGATAAGCTTTGTCAGTATCCTCATATATCTGCACTTGAGTACAGAGGCAGCTGTTGCACCCAAGCTAAGTGATATATACTTAATTCTGATTTTATGAGAGAGGGGGTGTACACAGTAAAATATAATCAGAAAAATAATAAAGATAAAGCTAGTAGGAATGTGATGCCTCCTGCATTAATTGTGGTAAGTAATGGCTGTGAAAGTGATATAGGGAAACCTTTCAACAGTGGTTGGCCGTCTGGGCCTGCAAAGCCTTCTCTGCAGGCCTAAGAAAATATCTGAATCACAGACTGATGTTAATTGTATTTTCTGATTCTATAATCAGATTTTAGGTTGGTGACGCCGGGGCCTTCTGGAAGGCCTTACGCAACGTCACCGTATTCACGCCCGCTGATTGGATAGTCAGATATCCAATCAGCGGAAAGCTAGCAAACAAACCGAAATATGTTTGTGTTGGTGTAATGGCTATTTCATGATTTGCTGGCGGATTTACTGTCAAGACCATTTTCAAAACGGACTTTTCAAGAAAAATTAAGTAAGTAAAATGTTGCTTTTTTCCTAAATAATGTCGCGGGTTTATGAGGATATTATTTATGTTTTTTTGTTTTGCTTTTTGTTGGGGGGGGGTGCTTCGCAGCTGTAGCCGCAGTAGTAGAAGGCTTGTGCACCCCTGATCTTTATACTGTATTTTAGGCTTGTCCCGATCTGATATTTGGATCGTTTCGGCCGGCATGAGAAACTGCCGATCCAGACTACAGATCCATTTAAAAAAAAAAAAAAGTCCGATCCCACACGAGCATTAGCATTAGCATCTTTAACCCACAGGTCTGTGCCCTAAACTTTAAGTTGTTACAAGTGTAAATCCCTGTTTACCATGAGTCTGACAACTAAATAAGTAGATAAATAACTTTAAACTTTAATACAATAAACTGGATAGGGACATCCCTGCTGTATTTCTACATAAGATGATTTCTATAACCATAAAATAGTTATTGAGGGGTGAATTGATTCAGACGACTGCCTTTGGGAGGCACCTATCTCAAATTGGACACATTCCTGTTCTCAATATTCCCTCAGCTAATGATTAAAATACATGAAATCTGTTTTTTATTTTTATTTTAGAAACACATGCTGCAAATCCTTGTTCTGATTATTTTGAGGAAAGGTTGAGCTATCACTGGTGGGATAATGTTGGACCACATCCTGCTCATGTTACTGGAGCATGGTTTCATAGTGTGGATATGTGGCTGCTGAACTTCCCCGCTTCCAGTGGCACTGTGGCACTGTTGGAAAGAAGGAAGAATATGACAAAACGCACAGCTTGAACTGTCAAACTGGTTTGATTATTGAGTCGTCAACAGCATCTTGGAACAAAGTGAGCTTTGAGGAGTAACGCCGCGATGATCATTTGATGTGATTCTTTTGGCCGGTGGAGCATTATGACATGTGCCGACACTTTGTTCTCTCTAATCAGACAGTTAACTTTATTCACAAAGCTTTGAGGGGATGTCTGAAACCCACAAGCAGCCACACGGCAAAAGCCTTATTACCAAGAGAGTGTAAACCTCAGTCAAGTCAATTGTCAGAGTCGAAGACACAAGAATATTCCACGGAGCAGACGGCAGTCTTAATGAACTCAGCAGGGTACTCTGCAAGAGGCCTTGCACGCACTGCCACACCTAATGACTAATGTATGTGAGGAGAGGTTGAACAGTGACACTGTGCCCGGCATGTAAATTATCTATTTAATTTAACAGTTGCTAATGAAACCAGTGAAATAAATCTGTGTTAAGCGGTAATCGCTCCCCCTCCGCCCCCTAAAACTTTCAAACTGCGTTCAGGGAACGCAGGTTGTGTTCTGTGGGCCATTAACAATAAAGTTTTACAGTGCATCGGACTGCCACCTGCTAATTAGGATAACACTTTCCCTGAACTGAAAATCTGGAGGAGGTAAAGGTGGAAACGGGAATTTTTTTTTCTGCTGTGGTGAGCTTGCAGCAGCCTTGAATGGACTGCTCATCCGTTCAGTGCCACGTATAGCTCGTTTTTAGCCTGAAAGTGCTTGCGGTCACTGTCAAATAGTTTTATTGATATAATTGATTCTACCTGATGCTGCACGGCGCAGTTTGCAGAGTCTCCATTAAAGCATTGGACAGCACTGGTAAGGACAAGAAATAAAACCAAGGGGCTTGACACTAGCAATTTGCATGAGGCGATATTGTTTTAATAGAACCACTGACTTTAGATTGCCAGGGGAATTGAGGACAAGGATGAAGCTAAAGAGGCAGATGCATAGGAATGTTTGTACAGAGCCTCTTTCTTTCAATATGCAGTCCTTTGGTGCTATTTGTCTGTCTAATGATCATAGTAAAACAGAAGACAACCCATCGTTCATCAATGGTGATCTGATAAATTTGTTAATTGAATCTTTCATATTCTTGTGTCCGTTTTTTTAAATGATCAGTGTGAGTTACTATTTTCACATGTCTAATTAATAGAATATGAACAATATCATATTTGCTGTTCATGATATAGACAAATTCCTGCATTTTATTGTTAGATGCTACCACAAATAAAAAAGGTACTAACAACTATGCACACTTACTTTTTAATCACCAAAGCACGCATATTTTTGTAGGATATTAGAGTATGGAGAAAACACACAGACATGGGGAGACTCCACACAGAAATGCCCCACCTGAGAGTTGAACCATGAACCATCTTGATGTGTGGTCAAGGTGCCAACCATCACAGCACTGTGCTACTAGATGTGAAAAAGCACACCATAACGAATACATTCTATTCTAATTTCAGATTAAAAATCATTCCTTTTACCCAGACAGCACCATAAATGGCCCTTTGGGCTCGGAATGTTCTCGCTTTTTATCAAACACTAACAGAAACTATTTGTGTCATTGTGGATTTCCTATCAGCTCCATTCCGAGGTCGATTTTTCAAAACTTTTTCTTGCTTTCCAATGTTTTCACAGTGGTACTGATCTCTTTGCAATCTATTTGACAGACATAATTTTTCAGTGGCATCGATGCGTTGTAAAGATTCAAGCAATTATGATTTTTCTCCTTGTTTTCCTATAAAACCTTCTATGGTATTTTACTGCTGCTGGCATCTGTGAATTATGGCTCCATCTGGTCACCTGAAAAGCAGCAATAACCGGCATGCATTTCTATGTAAAAAAGCAAGTGCATTCCTGGAAGAGTCCAGTAAGAACACTTATGATACACCATGGCTGGAGCTATATATTATAACTGATTAAAACTCAAGCCTCACCTGCCTTACTGAACAGTTTTTATCCATTATTTTTACTAGATGTAAATTAAACATTCGCACAATACACAACTTATTGGACATGATTGCAATAAAGGAGATGGCATTCCACCACACACATGAAATAAAAACAATCAAATTTG